AATTAATAGAATATTATTTTTTAAATATAAATATATAAATATATATAAATAAATAATTAAAAAATAATTTTTATATAATATCGGGTCGGGTCGGGTTTGCTTAAAAAACACGAATCTGACCCGACTTCGATTTTTTCTTAATAATACCCGATCCGACCTGACTCGAAATCTAATTTTGAAAAAAAAACTAACCCTATAGGGTCGGGTCAAGTTGGAACCCGTTGGTTCCAAGTTGGGCTGCCAACCCTATTCTTTCCTTGTGCTAGACTTTTGCCATTTTTGGGTTTTACGGGCCACAAATATAGCTGTTTTAATGGACCATCATTTTCAAAATCCTGCTAACGCTATAATTAGTGGAATCCAATCCAATTTAGCAGCAGGAGTAGCTTTATTTAAAGTTAAACCAAACTATTTTATTTATATTTTTTATGAAAACATTGAAAATTGTTTATGTTTTCGAACCAAAATACTCAATTCTGATTTCGAATCTACCTCGCATGATCTTTCAATCAACTGATCAGCGGTTTATGAATTTACAAATACTACTAATACTTCTATCAAATCGATATATTCTAATATTATTGAAAATTTTGAACCAAATACCTTTGATTCAGAAATTAAACCTAGATTAGTTAATCTCGCAGACTTATCAATCCCAAAAGGATGGTGTCTCGAAGATCTTTCAAATACTTCTGAAAAACAGAAAGTACCAAGTTTAAAATTTTTCTCATCAGGAAAAATCTTTACTTTAAAAATTCAAATGAATCAACCAGTTTTAATCCAAACCTGATTTTACCTCCCATAAATGTTTTTAAACATCAACCCGATGATGATATAGAGAGTATAACTAGTAATCAATCTTTTTGTACTCCTTATCGAAATTTTTTTTCAGGTTTTCATAGTACAAACAGTACAGAAACCCTCAGATGAGCAAATAGTATGCGTCAATCAGGTAATACTGATAATACTTAAATTTTATTTTTGTAAGAGATAATACATCTTAACAAGGTACAGTTGATAATCAAACCCATTATCATTCTGTTAATTCTGTGATTAATTCACATACTTTTTCTTCTAGAAAAACTAAAAATGAAGATATTAAAATGTTTCATTCTATAAATAATTTTCGTATTTCTAGCTCTAGCCAACAAGAAATAATATCATTTGCCAACAAGGTAAGATATTATACTTATATAGAAGGTTATTTTTATTTTCAAAACTATAAACCCTATAGTTTAAATATTTGATTGACACAAGAGCAACAATCTCTAACTATCGCCCTAATGCTTTGCCGTCAACAAAATGGTAACCCATGAAACATCTAATAATAATAGTAGGTATCGATGGTAAAGAAATCATTGTTAACCTAAAGGCAAAAAATATACCTGTTGCCTTAAATGATAAAAAATTCATTATACTTAAGATATTATGCTTTCCTAATATGCATGGAGACATTCTGTTAGGAAATAATTTTATACATAAATATTTACCATTTTCTGTTTATCCAGATTATCTTATTTTCACTATTAATAAAAATCAATAGATATTCTTCTATTATCCAAACATAATCATGTTTGTGATAACGATTTTCATCCAGAAATAACACATATTTCTAAAAGTAAAGCTATTAATGAAAAACATTGGCTTTATAGAATTTTGCAGGAAAACTTCAATGAAGACCCATTGAAGCTTTGGAAACACAATCTTAGATACTGTGAACTTACTCTTCATTCTCCAAAAGAGATTATTAGAGTAAAGCCCATGATCTATACCAAACAAGATATAGACGAATTTGAAGTTCAAATTTCAAAATTGCTTGACAAAGGTCTGATAGAACCAACTACCAGCCCACATTCTAGTTCAGCATTCATGGTAAGAAACCATTATGAGATTAAACGAGGTAAACCTCGTATGGTTATTAATTACAAGAAATTAAACCAAAATCTTGTTTTTGATGGCTATTTTATCCCTCGTAAAGACGTTTTAATCAACACTTTTCTAAATTTGATTGTAAATTCGATTTTTGGCAAATCATGCTAAACGAAACCTCTAAACCCCTTACTGCTTTTAGTGCACCAGCAGATCATTACCAATGGATTGTTATGCTTTTTGGTCTATGCAACGCCCCTCAAATCTTTCAGCATTGGATGGATAGTATTTTTAGCAAACATAAAAAAATTTGCTGTGTCTATATTGATGATATTTTGATATTTTCCAATACTCTAGATGAGCACAAAAAACATATGAATATTATTGCTCAAGAATTTATTTTACATGGTATTATTTTGAGTCCCAAAAAGGTTGAATTTAAAAAATTGAAATTAAATTTCTTGATATTAATCTTTTTACAAACGGACTAACCCTGCAGGATCACATTATTTCCAAGATCAAAGATTTTTCAAAAAAACTGGATAATATCAAATAGTTACAACAGCTGTTAGGTATACTTAATTATGATAGGTAATTTTTCAAAAACCTTTCCAAAAAGGAAAGCTATATTTTACGTAAATTGCATAAAGATAATGATTTTGTCTGGACACCTAATGATTTTGAAATTATCAAACAGATCAAATCAAATTTAATCACTATACCTAAGGTCTATTTACCTAAACAATGTGATTTACTTATTTTAGAGACAGATGCCAGTGATGAACATTGGGGATGTGTCTTAAAAGCTAAAAATCTACATAAAAAAGATGAATTGATTTGTGACTACAATTTCGATAAGTTCAAACCGAACGAAATAAATTATATTATCTTTGAAAAAGAATTATTAGCCATAAAAAATAATGTAGAATGATTTCACATCTATTTAGCCCTAGAGATCTTTGTTATCCGAACAGATAACCAAGCAATCAAAAACTTTTTCCAAAATAAAAAGCTTTCTAATAATCTCAAGCGAATTAGGTGGTACAATTTTTTTTGTTCTTATCATTTTCAGGTAGAGTTTATCAACGAAGACAAAAACCTCATTGCAAACTTTCTGAGTCGATCACATGGATCGAGAAAAATAACTTATCCATGATACAGGTGGATGGAAAATCGTCAAGAAGAAACCAGGTAAAAAATCCTCTTCTTTTTCAAGACCCTTGATCTCTACAAATCTTAACCTATGATTTAACTTTTATAATAATCCTAACCAAGGATTATATCTCTACCAACAATCTCTTTATCGATCCTTGTCATGAGGATTCAATCAGAATACTCATAGTTTGCTCAAGATCCAAACGACTGGACACCTATGAGTTATTCTTAAATAGTTTCTTCAACAAAACAACTGCTTGAAAGAATTAAATTCTCTAACCCAGAGATTAAAGATTTTTATAACCTTGAACTTGAACCACAAGTCTACAGTTTATTGAACAAAGTTTGGAAATCCCATCTTTCAGAAAATAAATCCAGCTTTCGAAAAAGGATGATCAACTTAGCTGAATTCTTAGTCAAATAAGCTAAAAAATTTTAGAATTTAAAAAAAAATAGATTTTCAAAGCCTTCTATCAACAAATCTGCTAAAACAGTAAGATATTGATTTCTTTGCTTTGAAAGAAAATCAGTACAGTATTCAAGAGATAAATAATTTCTTGAATTTATGTGAATATTTTGAGAAAGAAAATTATGTTTCCTCTAAGCTAAACAAGCTTAAGAGAATTCTTCTTTTCAAAAAAACTGCAGTATTCTTAACCAAAGAATTATTCCAGCAAATTAATTCTTCTATTTTACAGTCAACAGAAACACTATTGATAGAAAAGTTTTCAAATTATTATACTTCTACTTATATGTATAATACATCTTTTGGTGAATATATACCTAAACTTAAGTTTCGAACTTGATCATGAAAGTTTTGATGGAAAAAGCATTGAATTTGGTTTAGTTGGACAAATAACTATACAAAATTATTCTTTTCACCTCCTAAAAGATTTTCAGCTTTTATAAAGCATAACTTTATTGAATGTATAAAATGGTCAAAACACCTTTTTTACGTTCATTTTACTATATACAATTTCTTGGGTACCTTTCAAAGAGAAAGATTTTATCAACCCTATCAAATATGAGAATTGATACCGTATCAGGTGGACATTTTCTACAACCCCTAAATATACTTGATCCACCTACAGACCATATCGAATTCTAAGATGATTTAAACAAAATCATCTCTAAATATACCAACCCAAACTCTTACCACTTCCAAACAGGAACTGACCTCATGGATAAAGCAAAATTATTTCTCTATTTAACCACCAAACCAGAATATCCAAAAATAGCTTGCTGGACAGATGACAGACGTATTTTTGTTAAAAGATTTCTGAAACCACATGAGGATCTTGATATCGAAAATGCCTTATAAGCAATTGAGCTTTTGGATAAATTATTTAAAATGGAAGATCTTGATCATCCGACTGATGTACTATATCGGTATCAAGAAAGATGGTAGATGTGAAACAAATCACATTCCAGATCTTTTCAATCTTTTCAGTCCCTTAACGCATTGGATGAAGAATTTTATAACTTAAACAATGCTAAGGAAGGATAAAACTGTGCATATTCTAAACTAGGATAAAACAGAACAAACAATCGACACAAAAAGATAAAACTTTATTCGACGCCAACGACTAGCAAAAAAATAGTGTAGCAGTCAACTATAACAGAAGATAAGACATCACTATAGCAATCACTGTAGCAGAAAAAGATAGAGACCCACTACGAAAGATACTGTATCAAGTCACTATAACGATACTATAGATAAAATTCTACTATACACTATAATGAATAATTGTACAAAATTACTGTTTATAGGTTAGAATTTTTCTATTTAAAACTTCATTGTAACTAAGCTCGAAGAGGCGAACTGGAGGCCAACTTTCCTTTCTCTCTCATACTTCCTGTTTCCCTCTCTCTTCAATCTTTTTTCTTTTTTTGTCCTCAATTTGTATTAAGATATATATATATATATATATATATATAACTTTTGCAATCCTTTATACATAGATCTTTTTCGCATTCCTTTTATTCTAACAAGACATGTACGAATAACTGTAAAGACAAGATCTTGAAAACCAACAGTAGTGAGTACTCCATTTTATTGCAATACACCCTGCAAGAAAGTACTCTCCTTTTAAACCCTTTATTCTTACCTTCATCTTAAATTCAAGTCCTACCACCCTCTTGAGCCTTACTCTTTGTCTTCTGTCCCACATGCCCGGCCATGTCCTGCATGCGCCTCCTAGTGTGGTCCAGGTCTAGCTGCTCTGTGCCAGTAACCCTCCACAGGTGGTTAAAGGCATAGGAGAGTGAAGACAGGCCTGTCAACCCGAAAGCCTCGGAGGACAAGAAACCAGCCACAGCCATCATAACGGTAATGGCAGTAGGGACAAGAATTGGGCTGAAGATGATGAAGGGTGGTGTGGCCACACACAGCCCAATGACGGTGCCGGTTAGTGTCAGCCCTGCTAATGCAAGCAGAGTGCCACCAATAGGGAGGAGGGTAAGGATAGCCAGAACCTGGCTCGTTGATGGTCCACTTTGATAGTTCTTCCCACCACCCTGATAATTAAAATGTTGCTGTAGGTGAACCTGAACCTGTTGAGGCTGGTTGCGATCACGGATGTCAGCCATTGATGAAAAGCTTATGAGCTTTGGCAGATATTGAAAACTTATATGTTAATGACAGCAAAAGAAAAAGAACAATCAGAGCTGAAAGGAGACTTTGGGGTGGTGGGATTTTTATAAAGGAGTGAAGGGTTCAATATGGAGACACGTAGGGGATGACATGGTGAGCTGAAGAATGTCACAGTCCGTAAGCTGGTCCAGGCTTAGGGGTTCTCTCCAAGTCGACGACAATTCAAGTTCTAGCGGAACAGAGTCTGACAGCTAAAAAGACTAGGTCCTGAGGCGCACTGAAGGTGTAAGTTGTGGGAAACCAGCAGAACAATGGTGCGAGCAGTGATCAAGGTTCCAGTGGCTCAGACAGGGTGTTCAGGTTTGGCACAGTTGAGCTAGGCCGAGGTGCGGGCAATGCAGGCGCACAGATAAACATAGGCGTATAGGCAGGGACAGGCACACAGGCAGACACAGACGCGGGCACTCCTGATCACAGACATGAGATAATCAGAGTTGATAACACTGAGTCGGGCCTACGTGTGGGTACAGGTACAAGCCCAGGAGCGGGCGATGCTGAGTACGGACTTGGAACTGGCAAGGACAGATTTCCACTCAGATTTGATCAAAGATGTTGGAAATATGCTGCAACGTCATATCCTCTATAATCAAGGACTATATCAGATCTCCTAAAATCATAAAATTTAAATTAATGCAATCCTTAGAGTTTGAGTTTAGGAATGTAACTTAGGGGACTCAGCTATAAATAGAGTCCCTACACAACCAGAATAAGAGTAATAAAATCCTTACTCTTGCCTTAATCCTTTATGTTGTTAGCCTTTCCCTGTTTTCTTTGCTTGCGTATTCTGACTTTTTGTTGGTACAGTGCCTGCACGCTTGCGTAGTAGGCTGAGCTTAGGCATACGGAATCAATTCTCAACTTAGGGCCCCACGGATTCAGGCTTAAGATCGTGATAGTTAGTATCAGAGCAGATTCGAAACTGGTTCAGAGTCAGTAGAAACTGGTTCAGAAGAGTTGATCAGTGCTGGTTACTACTGGAACCAGTGTTAGCCTCGGGGGAGGTTGCTGACATATGGCGTGGGCATTCGATTGTGTGGTGCGAGCATTCTAAGTTGTTTCTGTGCTCGTGTGATGGTGATATGCCCTTTGGTGTACAAAGTCCAGGCGTGCAGGAGTGTAGACCAGATGTTCGACCGATTGCTGCTGTTGTGCTGTGGGTGTGCTGGGCGTACTGTGCAGAGGTGCTGACTGGTGCCCGACAAAGTGCTGGTCGTGTATGTTGTGCTGGGCAGAATATTGATTCACTAGAGTGCTGGTCCGAAGGTTGAGGTAAACTCCGTAGACTACATTCGTGAATTTTTTGTTTGCTCGTTGTGCGCTGCTAGTATGGCTAGGGATGACCAGAGAGGGAGCCCACGCAAGTTGTGCAATGAATGCCCACCCACCGACAAGGGAAAGAAAGCTAGTTCTGAGGAGGTGCTGATGTCCATGGTCACCCGACTGGAGGAGTGTGAGGGGGCCATTATGGACACGCAAGATAGATTCGAGGACAACATAGGACCCGTGCACGAATCAATAGGGGAGGTCGTGCAGGATCATAAGGTGTTGAAGGCCATGATGATGACTTTGCAAGAGGAGCTACAAAGGTTCAAGGTTGATCATGTCGTGTTATGAGCGACCGTGGTTGCTGGTGCAGGTTTAGGACCAAGGGTGGAGTTGCTTAAGCCAAAGCCATTTGGGGGAAGTTGCTTTGCTAAGGATGTCGATAACTTTGTTTGGGGCATGAAGCAGTACTTCAGAGTGGTCGGGACAGCAGATGATGCTAAGGTGAGCACAACTGCTATATATTTGACTGATAATGCTCTTTTGCGGTGGCGCCGTAGGGATGACAGTGCCAAGCGTGGTGAGCGGGTAATCACCACATGGGACCAGGTCATGGAGGAGCTTAGGCAGTAGTTTAAGCCAGAGTACGCGAAAGAAGAAGCTCGAGGAAAGCTTCGCAGGTTTGCTCAAAAGGGGAGAATCTGAGACTATTGGAGGGAGTTCTCAGAGCTGTTGCTGTTGGTCCCAAGCATGAGCCAGAGGCAGAGGCTCTGTTTTACTTTCTAGATGGACTGAAGCTATGGGTAAAGTTTGAATTGCAGCTACAAGGTGTGCGAGAATTGAGTCGGGCCATTGCAGTTGCAGAATCGTTAATAGAGTTTGAAAGCATTGTGTCTCCATGGTCAAGCCCAAAGGCAGCAGTGAGGGAGACACAGATAGCAATTCCTCATCCGATGAAGGGGCTGGTGACATGCCCAGACTTAGCAAGGCCAAGACCATCAGAACCGCTTCGGACAAGGGCAGAGAGCGAAAGCCCTTGAGTTGATATTTGTGTGACGGTCCACCTCTTTATTTTGCCACATTGACATTGTTGTCCACAAAATTGTTGTGTTGTGCTTTTTGCGTGGGAAAAAGTGGGTTACTGCCTAAACTTATAGTGGCCATGGCCATATATTTCTTTTCTCTGTTCTCCTTTCTAAATTATAAATCTCAATTCTTTGCTTTGAGTTTCACATTCAAAATCAGGACCTGATATTAATAAAAGGCTTGAGCAACATTAGGCTTCAAGGCCCTTTGTCATTAATAAATTGGACCAGACCTTAATTTTTATGCTTTACAATCTTTGGTCCTGAAGGCCCTTTATCATAGGCTTTTGACTTCTCTCCTGGCCTGAGCTTTACAATTAACATTAAAGAAAACTGGACCGAACTAGAATTGCTGGTAGGCTTGTCATCTCTCTGCATTGAGTGTCACTTTGAAAAACTGGACCTGACCTCAACCTGTGCCTGAGTCAGAACCCAACAAGTTCATACTGTAATGTCGGTATCATTCAAGAGTTGTTGTCCATCATATGCAAAGATTAATCAAACTATACATTTGATCATCCAATTTATAGATAAACTTGCTTCTTCTTGAACATGCAGTCTCAGTAATGAAAATTTCACGAATGACCATCTTCTCCTAGTTATCCAACCATCAAATACCAGAACAAAACAATGCCTTTGTTCTAAGCATGCAAGGCTTGATCAACTAGCTATACATATATCCTAACAAACTCAAACTGAAACTTAAAGAAGGTTTAGTAGGCTTAACATGCACGAATATATATATATATATATATATATATATATTCATTTGAGAATAAAAGAGTCGAACTTATAACTTTTTAAACAGTCATATATCAATTATCTAGCTAAACATTCATGTGTACATATGCCTATATTAGTACCGATTGTTTCAAAAGATAGTGAAAGAATACTTAAAAAGCAATTTAAAGTTGTTATATCTCAATGGGCACCTGAGCAACATTCCCGTTATCATGTCATTAGAGTTTACATATGATAATTTAATTATTTATTTCATTATTTATAAGGTATAAAAAGAAAAATAAGATTCAAATCAGATATATATTAGATATTTTACATCTTCTCGATAGTCGATTCTTTATAATTATCTTATGTTTTCTCTTACCTTTTTACTTCTCATATGATGTTAACTAATTTGAACATCGAAATTCACTTTGAATTTTTTTTTTGACAAGTCTGATACATTATTTATCTCAATTTTTAATAAGCTTCTTGATCATTAGACCAAAAATTATATCAACTAAAGTAAATTAAGGCGTAAAGATTCGATATGGCATATTTTTTTTCTTTACATTTCTTTGATGCCCTTAAGAAATTATTTTGGAGACAAAGGTTTACTATTTTTAGATGCTTGCATCGTTGTCACCTATCCACGTATATAAACATGTGGATGTTAATAAACGCGCATTTGTCCTACCAAAATACATGAAAAGAAACCTAAATTGACAAATGGCATAGCGAACGTGCGGATATTAGATAGAGTGTAATTGAATCGAGTCAAATTAAAATAATAAAAAATTTGAGTTTGAATTGAAATTTGTTATTTGAAATTCAATTCAAATTTGTTCAAGTTTTAAAATTTAAATTCAAACTTGATTTGAGATAAAAATCGTACTATTCAAACTCATTCGATTAAATTTATTTATAAAAAAAAAAAAGCTTGATTTCCTTACTTGACTTCAAATTCGAAATCGAGTTTGAATTTATATATATATATATATATAATGGTAAAATACTAATTTTTCATTAAAATAATAATAATATATATTAAAATATAAAAATTCGATTAAACTCGTGAATTATTCAAATCAAACTTAACTCATTCGGTAAGTTGAGCTGCTTGAGTTCCACTAAACATTATCAAATAAAATTTAAATTTTATTCAAATCGAACTCGAATAACTTACTAATTTTGATATGTCATTTACACTTAGGACCCTTAATAACACTATACTATTGTACCAACCAAGGGGGGGTGATGGGAATGGCCAGTTGGGGGGTAGGGGCAGGGACCAAAAAACGATCAACCTCCCATCAACTTCATATTTTCTTTTGAAAAAGTAGGGTAAAAATAGATTGCTTTAATCTCATCTTTCATGTTGAAGTTTGGCTATTTGATCATCAACTAAGAGTCTGTTCATGACATGTTTTGGGGCTCACGGGACCTTGATTGCCCCATTGAAAGGCACGTCTAGTCAATCAAAATCTCAAAAGTATTGCAAAACATTTGTAATCGAGCTGTGTCTTTGGTTTTGGACCTCTTGGGTCAGTTTTTGATCTTTTGATCCCTTTTTTTTTTTTATCCTCTTGGGCGGTTGTGTGGTGGTCCGTCCTAACTTGAAAAAGAAAGGTTTATAACAAGTGAAAGTGAATGGAAATGAGTGTAGAGCTTTAGGCCTACATCTAACATCAACTTTTTTATGCCCTTTTTTCTGAGTTGTTGCTCGCGTGCTTCTCCCTTTGTGTGTCAATGAAAGACATTTAAATTAACCTAAAATTTACCTCACTCGTTTCTCAATAAGTCTTTGTTCTACTAGCATCATTTTATCCCATTCTGACCTAAATTTGATAATTTAAAATATGACACAATGACATGATACAAATTTAATATAAAAAAAGACACGAAGGTAATACAATCTAAAAATCTTAATAATAATTATATATGGGTTTAACAAAATAAAAAAAAAATTTCATGTTTTCGTATCAGCACAAATTATAACATATAATTTTCATATAAAACACAATAAAAATATATAAATTTCAATATTTTATATGACACAAATATATAAATTATCAAATTTACTTCCACCCAAAATTTTAAGCATAAAAAATTACCTACACATTGGTAAAAATTAATCTAGTAAGTATAGAGATTAGTTTTCTTTTTTTTTTTTTTCAATCAGAGTTAGGTTTTTTTAAAAAGCATTTTAAAAATTAAAGAATAAAATACACTAAATATGCATTTCGTACACAGGATTATGATAAGATAAGATAAGATAATACTATGAATATGATTATATTAAATAATGATATTCTTTCTTGTGTTTAATATATGCAAGAATTATAATAAAATAATTTATTTATTAGTCAAAATTATCATTTCTTAAAGTTTATATAATTTAAATTATTGATGTAATTTTTAAGTGTATAATAGGACATGTAAGTTTAATACTATGGATTAAAAATAATTCTTTCAACTTTGGGATGATTGAATTATTCTACACCAAGAGAATAATAATCTTCCTTGTAATCATATCACTTTCAATTAGATACAAACAAAATATAATATAAGATGATTGTCATCCTA